ATTGATTATGGCTACTGAAAGAAATGATTCACTTTAGTCTATGAGTGTGAGGTTGGATGAGAATAACTATTCGTATTAGAGTTATGTAATGAGAAATTTCATTAAGGGTAAGAGGATGTGAAGGTATGTTATGGAACTTATATGATACCTAAGAATATTGAGGAAGGGGATGTTGTTTTGATAGATACATGGGAAGCAAATAATGCAAAGATCATTACTTGGATCATCAATTCTATTGAGCATTTGATAGGTACACAGTTGGTGAAGTATGAGACAGCAAAAGAGGTTTGGGATAATCTGCAAAGGTTATTCACACAATCAAATTTTACAAAACAGTTATCAATTAGAGAATGACATACAAGCTCTTCATCAAAAGAATATGAGTATTCAAGAGCTTTATTCTGTTATGATAAATCTTTGGGATCAATTGACTCTTACAGAATCGGTAGAATTAAAGGCATGTGGTGGCTACATTAAGCGTAAAGAGCAGCAACGATTAATGTAGTTTTTAACAGCACTTCATAATGATTTCGGAGCGCTTGGAGGTTCAATTCTGCATCATTCTCCGCTACCTTCTATTGTTAGTAAGTTATTGGCTAAAGAAATACATCTCCAGTCTTATTATGAAAAGAAAATTCTTTCTGCTTTAAATCATTCTATACTAACATGACCTTCTAACTCATTCTCTAATCATCAAAATAAGCCTTACACAAGGGTTGGCTTCGATGAGTGCAGTTTTTGTAAGCAGAAAGGTTATTAGAAGGCTTATTGTCCTAAGTTGAGATATCAGAATCAAGCTTGGAAGCCTGACAATTAGTCATAATCTAATACTTATAGACTACCTTAGGATTATAAATCACCACACTACAATACCGCAGCAGTAGATTCCCCAAGCTCTATTATCGATCCTAATACTTTGGCTAAGTAATTTAAGAAGTTTCTCTCATTACAACCACAAGCAATGTCCGCCTTTTCTTTTATAGGTCAGTTGCCTCATAGTTTTTCAGGTTTGTCACACTTTAAATGGGTCTTGGATTCTAGTGCTTCTTATCATGTATCTCCAAATTCCTTATCTTTTACCTCTATGTCCCATTTATCCTCTATTCCTGTTATAACTGCTGATAACACTCTTGCCCTTAGTAGGTGTTGGTTATGTTGTCACACCTCACTTGTTTCTTCCTAATGTTTATCTTATTCCAAAACTCAAATTGAATCTTGCATCTGTTGGTCAAATATGTGATTATTTAGTCATGTTTTCTGGCTCTTTTGTTGTGTACAGGATCTATAGTCTTAGAAGCTGATTGGGACAGATCGTAGGAAGAATGGACTATATATTTTGGATGAGTTAAAAGTGTCAGTTGTTATCACCGCTGCTATTACTACTGTTAATTTGTCTTCCTTTCATTTAAGTCTTTCATCTTCTAGTTTTTATTTATGTCATTCTCGTCGAGGTCATGTTTCGTCTTCTCATTTGAGATTTTTAGCATCCACAAGACCTTTAGAAAATTTAAAAACTTGTGGCATTTCTGATTATAGTGGATGTAAACTGATAAAAATTTTCACTTTACCTTTTAATCGAAGTATTTCTATTTTTTCTTCACCATTTAATTTGATTCATTTTGATGTATAGGGACCTTCTCCTATTGTCACAAAAAGAGGGTCTCGATATTATGTATCTTTTATTGATAATCATACTCGTTATTGTTGGGTTTATTTAATGAAACATCGTTTTGAATTCTTTGAGATATATACAGCTTTTCGAACTCTTATCAAAACTCAACATTCTGTTATGATCAAATTTTTTAGGTGTGATTTGGGTGGAGAATACACCTCTAATAAATTTTGTTAATTGCTTACCTTAGATGAAACCATCCATCAAACTTTTTATACAGATACTCCTGAACAAAATGGTGTTGCTGAAAGAAAACATAGACACATTGTCGAAACTACTCGTTCTCTCTTGTTATCTACTTTTATTCCTATTGAGGTTTGGGGAGAAGTTGTTTTTACTGCTGTAAGTTTGATTAATACAATTTCATGTTCTCATAGCTCGGGTCTATCTCCTTTTGAAAAGTTATATGGGTATGTCCCTGATTATTCCTCATTTGTACTTGTTTTGTTCTTCGTCCTCATGTAGAATGTAGTAAGCTATCCTCTTGATCATCTATTTGTGTCTTTTTGGGTTATGGTGAAGGTAAAAAAAGGTATTGTTGTTTTGATCAATAACTCAAAAATTTTATATATCTCGTCATGTTGTCTCCCTTGAGCATATACCTTTCTTTTCTATTCCATCCATTACTCATAGCCTAACTAAATCTAATCTTATTCATATAGATCCCTTTTTCTAAGGATTCTAGTAATGATACCTCTTCTCATGTTCGATCGATTTGTACTTATAACTCTATAGGTACTGGTACTTTACTCTCTAGCACACACCTAAAGCTTTATTCTCATCTACTGCCCCTCAAGTTTCATCGGAGATTGTGGATCCACCTCTACGTCAGTCCATTCGCATTCGTAAGTCCACAAAACTACCATATTTTGCTTATTCTTATTATTCTTCATCATTTACTTCCTTTTTAGCTTCTATTCATTTTCTCTTTAAGTTGTCTTCCTATAAAGAGACAATTCTTGATCCGCTTTGACAGTAAGCTATAGATGAGGAACTTTCTGTTTTGCATAAGATAGATACTTGAGATCTGGTTCCTCTACCTCCCCGTATGAGTGTTGTTGGTTATCTTTGGGTGTATAAGATCAAAACTAATTCTGATGGGTCTATTGAGCGATACAAAGCTAGGCTGGTTGCAAAAGGATACTCTCAACAGTATGGTATGAATTATGAGATATTTGCCCCGATTGCAAAAATGACTATTACTTATATTTTTACTATCATAGCTTTGATTCGTCAGTGACATATTTCTTATATTGATGTTAAAAATGCCTTCTTGAATGGAGATCTTAAAGAAGAAGTTTATATGACACCCCCTTTTGGTATTTCACATGACTCTGGATATGTTTGTAAGCTTAAGAAAGTATTATATGGTCTCAAACAAGCATCATGTGCTTGGATTGAGAAATTATCTATTGTGATCTTGTCTCTTGGTTATGTGTCTAGCAGTCATGATTCTACTCTTTTTATTAAGCGCACTGATGCAGGTTGTATCATTCAGTTTTTATATGTTGATACCATGATTATTACTGGTGATGACATTAATGGTATTTCAGTTTTGAAGACAGGGTTGACTAGATGATTTGAAATGAAGGATTTAGGTTATCTTCAATATTTCCTGCGTATTGAGATAGCATACTCACCAAGAGGTTTCCTTCTTTCTCAATCGAAATATGTTGTAAATATTATTGAGCGAGCTAAACTTACTGATAATAAGACTGTAGATACTTCTATTGAGGTTAATGCAAGGTACTCTTCTTTTGATGGTTTATCTTTGATAGATCCTACTTTATACCATACTATTGTTTAGAGTTTGGTATATCTCACCATTACTTGTTCAGATATTGCATATGTTGTTCATATTATTAGTCAGTTTATTACTTCTCTTACTATTGTTCACTAGGCAGTTGTTCTTCGTATTTTGTGATATTTTTTTGGTATAGTTTTTTAGAGTCTTTTAATTTCATCCACTTCTTCCTTAGAGCTGCGTGCATACTCTAATGCTGATCATGATAGTGATCCCACATATCACAAGTCTGTTATCGGGTTCTATATTTTTTTAGGTAATTCTCTTATTTCTTAGAAGAGCAAGAAACAATCTATTGTTTCTCAATCATCCACCGAAGCAGAATATCATACCATAACATCTACTACTAAAGAGATTATTTGGTTACATTGGTTACTTGCTGATATCAAAATTTTCTTTTCTCATCCTACTCTCATGTATTGTAACAACCAAAGTTCTATTCAGATTGCTCACAACTCTGTTTTTCATAAGCAAACTAAGCACATTGAGATCGATTATCATCTTACTCGTTATCATCTCAAGCTTGGCACCATTACTTTGCCTTTTATCCCTTCTTCTTTGAAGATTGTAGATTTCTTTACCAAGGCGCATTCCATCTCTTGTTTTCGTTTTTTGATTGGAAAACTCTTGATGCTTGTAGCTGCCGCATCATAAGTTTGAGGAAAGATATTAAATAACATTTATGTAGTCTTATTTATTAAGGATAGAATATTATTTTTAATTTGACCCATATATACTTTATTTGTATTTAAGTTAATACCATGCACTCATAATAAACAAATTATTGAGAATTATAGCTTTCTTTTTGTGTTTGTTCTTAGTTAATTTAACAATGATAAGGTTACGTGATTGCCTTTTCATGAGCTATAAACAAACATCAACTCTTAGAAATTATCAAATGTTTCTTGCTCCTATCAGCCAGTACCATGTAAGCCTTAACAAGCTCCTCTTTGATCATGAAAAGAACAGAAGCTGCAAACACACTCTGAACTATCTTTGTGCTCATCCCCTTGTAAAAACCAGTCAATCCTTCATAACGGATCATTTTGACTATCGCATCAAGAGTTCCTGCATGTATACCAGTAAAGAAGACAAAAACTAGTATTATAACAGTGAGATGGCAAACAAAACTATAAATATCCTAGAATTCAATTCTGAAATCACATAATTTGTTTTTCAACTATTGCAAAAAATCTTAGCAAATTGTCATTTCTACCCCTAAAAGAGTTCAAGGAAATTCTTAAAGGATTTTTATTATGTTTGGGATTATAAGATTTTAGGGACGTGATCTAAATGTGTGAAAAGCTTATGGTTAACATCCTAAAGTAATTCTTGAACTTTTACAAGTGTGGAGCTAGTGAGATTTTTCCATTTCCCCTTTAATTCCTCTGCAAATCAGATCCACAGCTAGAAGCATCTTGCATATCTACAAATGTCAATCCCTGGAGTCTATATGTTTGATTGCCCCAATACAAATTTTATCGTGCATCACTAATAAATCTTTTATTCTTCTAAAGAGTAAACTGTGAATTAACCATGTCACTAGAAAGAAGCAAATTTGGTTGTTAATTGTACCAGAACTGATATGCCAGTCCAAAACTAACTAGTTAAATACATGTAAAAGTTATTATTTACCTCAAACATTTATTTTTATCATAATTACTAGTTATTTTTCTCCAAATAGGAGTAATTTGAGCCATTTCTAGCAAAGTCCTTAAATTGTATAATTTTATGAGATATTTTAAAGAGAATTTAAACTCGGATAAGATTTTTCTAGAAAGTCAAGAAGCTCCTCCTTTACCAATTCCACTAGTCATCTTCCTGTTAGTCAAGCACAACTTTCTTCTTAGAGAAAACCACTTCTACTATACTATAAATACCACCTTTTATTTCACTCCATAAAATTTGAGCTCACTGAGTATCGCATATCCTTCTCATTCAACTCCAAGACATGCCTTATCTAAAATCTTTGAAATGCTATCTCTTTTCCAAGTCTTGCCACTTTATCAGTATGCATGCTAGCATGATAAAAAGTGTTCGTTCACGTAAACTTACTAGAAAAAATAAATAACGTGAAAGTTTGGCACAACCAAAGACTGCAAGGAAAAAGTCCACGCAACTTGTTTTAACCTTCAAGGTTTTAACCTCGTGTTTATAGGTCAATCAATGTGTTGTAACGATTAATTCATAGAACAAATGCACATCAAACTGATTTTAGAAAAATATACTATTGTTATTATAAAAGAAATAAATGCAACAGTTTGGAGGATAGAGACGATAGCGACGAACTCTAGAAGTAAAATAATTTTTTCCCATTATGCCTGTGTGTGTCTGAAAGCAAACCTGAGTATCTTAAGAGGTTATTTCCACCAATCTCCTGTTTTGCTTGAAGCCTCGACTACAAAAGGAACAGAAAAAGAAAAAGACTTCAAGTATAATTATACAGAACTTTGTGCATAATCACATGCATGAGAGCTTCTGTGTCCATGTTGTGCTAACATTATGAGAAAAGAACTTAGTGTGCTAAATCAGTTGCTTATATAACCCCAAGTGAGAAAATAATCTATAGTTTCTTGTGAAATCTAAAGCAGAAAAAGTTGCAAGGACGAGATCATGAATCCATTTTATTTGAAAAGACCAACACAGCAAGCAATCATCCAATATTACAAACAAGTCAATTATAAGAGAACAGTTACTTCCATAAGGATGATCACCAATATTACAAAAGCTAGTAGAGAATTTACCTTTACAACCAATAGGGGATATGTTGAGACAGTTGCTCCCAATTTTGCCAAAGCTCCTAGTAAAAAGACCTTTCGAAATGACAAGCGAATGTTCACTATATATGTGCCAAGTTTAAATATTTCACAAATGACTAAAATAACAAAACTAGATTATCTAAAGTAGTTTCTATACCTCTAGAGCAGTCACATTTTTATACCCCTGCTTGTTAGCAGAGCGTTTAGCCCTTAGATGCTTTGATGAACTCTCATAAATCATGAACTGGATTGATGGATTGCACACCTGGAATTCATAAAATAGGATCAAATGAGGAGTGGAGATGAACTTTAAAAATGCACCTAATAATGCACAAACAAATCGAGGCTAACCATAATGAGGGTAGGGATGATGCCTTTCCAAAATCCAGTGATTCCTGCTTCGCTGTAAACTTCACGTGCCTTAAACACACGTAACAGAAACCAGAATCGGTGTCAATAAAAAAATAAACATAAAAGACTCCAGTGAATGCTCAAGTGATAATCTCAGTGGTAATGATCTTATTATCATTGATAACCACAGCTATAGTGTTATCTTTTCTAGAATGACAACCTATAGCCAATTAAAATAAATAAATTTTCTCCCTTATTAAGATAACTATGATGCATTTGTTGCATGCAAACAATCACAATGGTCAAGGGTGGCAGAATAGGAAAAATTACAAACCCCACATGAATGGGCTTGGTCTTGCACCATAACCATTCATGTCATAATTATGTAAACACAATTTTGAGACAAAACAACGCCAACATTTTGCAGGTTATCCAACAAATTCAAAAGTGGCAAATGATTAAAGTATTTAATTACAAGTCTTAGATTGGCACATTAGTAATCTGCGCTTATGTAATATAATATCAATTTTACCTCTTCCTATCTTTCATCGAGCCAACCATGATTCTAGAACAAGATCAAGTTTTAAATAGTTGATTATTGTGAGCAAAGAAAAGTTAAAAAGACAGAAAGTAAGTAACGAGTGGATGATTTACAAGTCTTAGGCAAGGTTACATGTGATGCTTCATAAAACAAAGGATGTGAAGAAGCACTTGCAAGCATCAAGCATATGTTGTGATAAATATTAAACATAAAGATGGATTAAGAAATGAAAGGTGAGTGGAGACCTACCGCTTGTAAAGTTCCATACGGATGAGGTTTTATGGAATCAAGTTCAGCTAACTTCTCTTCCAAAGTTGAATCTATTGAGCTTCTTTCAGAAGCTTCGCTCAATAAAGCTTGTTTCTTTCCCTCAATAATTTTTCTTTCTGCTTGAGTTTGTGTCTAGAATCAAATACTTTTGTCAGAAAAATCTTCGATGGACGTAATTAATGAATATATAATTAAAGGTTACAAAACATTTAAAAGTTATAAACTCATGTTCATCTTTGTCTTGTATGTTATGATTGCAACTATTGTTATTTAAAAACAGGCGTGCAAAAGATATAGCATCCCATGTATACAATGCCTGAAAACATACAACATGAGCTAAGCAAGCTATATGTATGTTTCAAAAACTGACAGGGCTCAATCACCCTACCCTCCTACATATCTTGTATATCACCTGTTTCCTTACTATGTGCATGCGTGAGTGTCTTTGTGCACAAGAAAGTGGAAGGTCTTATTTTGATGACTAATATTAAAGATGATAGCCAAAGTGTGGGCAAAAAATAATAAAAAAATCGCATGTATGTACATATATATAAAGGCACCTGCATACGTGTTACAAGAACCCATATCGGGTTTGTCAACAAGACATTCAAGGACCTGCAAGATAAAAATAAATGTGCAGTGATGATGTTAATCATGAGTAAACATCTTCATTATAAGTGAGATGCAGGCATCACTGATCTCTTTGTTGCTAAAGAAGCCATTTCAAAGAAAACAAATGTCTATTTATTCTCAATTGTTCCAACTCTGGGCATGATCTTCCTAACTCCTCAGGAAATGTGTTGTTATGAAAATTTTAATTAAATGGATTAGTATTGTATAGTATTCACCCAGCAATGGCAGCCACAACAAGCCAAGAAAACATGCCAACAGTACCATCTCCCAGTCCCCTGGCTTTGCGTACAGCTGCAATGGACACGGCCTTGTTTTTGAAGACTTGATAAAAGTAGTAGTAAATGCCCTGTCAACATGGAACGAAGGATATTAGATCAGAACCGGCAACGTGAAAGGGAAAAAAATGATTAATCAATACTCTTTACTTGTTCTTATTAGGCATTTGTCAAAAAGGGTTGATGGTGCTAACACAAATGCCTGAGTATCTGCACCAATTCCGACCTTTGTAATGTGATATTTAAAGTTATGACTGTGATTGTTGGGAGGTTGAAATTAATGATGCCAAAATTGATTAGTGAAGTTCAGCGTAGTTTTGTGCCAGGGAGACATGTCACAAATAATATAATTGTTACCCAAGGAGATAATTCACTTAATGCGCAGTATGAAAGGGATGAAAGGGAAGAAGTTGATCTTGAGAAGGCTTATGATAGGCTTAGTTGGAGTTTTATTAGAGAGACACTAATTGAAATTGGATTGCCGAATGAGATGATTGGTACTATTATGAAATGTATAGAATCAGCTTCCCTTAGTGTGATATGGAATGGTAGTGCTACTCAAAAGTTTTTTTCAAGCCGTGGTATATGGCAAGGAGATCCCTCACTGCCTTCTATCTTTGTTCTATGCTACCATCTCAACTTATTAGCAGGGAGTTGGAGGATGGATTATGGAAACCTTTCACGGTTAGCAGGAATAGATTGGGAATATCCCACTTGTGTTTTGTTGATGATATGATGTTGTTTGCAGAAGTAAATACAAAACAAATGGACATAATTTTAAAGTGTCTAAATGTTTTCTGTGAAGCATCAGGGCGAAGAATCAATGTGGCAAATACCAAAATACTCATTTTGACGAATGTTTCAACCTTTTTGGCAAATTCTATTAACAGGAACAATGGTTTCAAAGTTTCCAAGGATTTGGGCAAGTGCCTTGGGGTTCCATTGTTGCATCAGAGAGTTGTTGATGATATGATGTTGTTTGCAGAAGCAAATACAAAACAAATGGACATAATTCTAAAGTGTCTAAATGTTTTATGTGAAGAATCAGGGCGAAGAATCAATGTGGCAAAGACCAAAATACTCATTTCGACGAATTTTTCAACCTCTTTGGCAAATTCTATTAACAGGAACAATGGTTTCAAAGTTTCCAAGGATTTGGGCAAGTACCTTGTGGTTCCATTGTTGCATCAGAAAGTGACTAAGCAAACTTACAGTTATTTGCTTGAAAGTTTGCAGAAGAAGTTAGCAGGGTGGAAGTTCAACAATCTCGCACTGGCAGACAGAATCACATTATGCATATCTATTTTTTCTACAATGCCTCTCTATCCTGTGCAAGCTGCCATGCTTCCGAAGCATACTTATAATAAAGATAGAAAACATATGTAAGAGGTTTATTTGGGGCCATAAGAAGGGCAGGGATAAGATACATCTTGTCAATTGGGAAACGTTGTGCAAATCTAAAGAAGAGGGTGGGTTAGGTTTTAGAAGCATGGAGACGATGAATAGGGCATTTATAATGAAGTTAGCATGGGGTGTGTTACAGGAGAATAGTTTGTGGGTGAGATTTTATGAATAAAGATTTTGTGTTGTGGAAAGCAATTTGTCAGGTGTGGCCTCAAGTATCCGAAAGCTTGAGCTGAACTTTAAGGAATTGTAGGAAGGTTTTGTTTTGGAAGGATGACTGGTTAGAGGGGCTACGGTCATCTAATTAATTTATCTAATAGTGAAGTTCTAGTGGACATTGTTGGTTGCACAGTGGCTGATATGATTGGAAATAGAAAGCAATGGAAGTGGGAAATTTTTACACATTGACTCCTATGCAAGTAGTGATGGTCATTGATGGGTAAATACCTCCTGATCAGAATTACGGAAGTTGATTCAGTGGTTTGGAAACACTCCACTAATGGGAATGAATTTCACTATTAAATCAGCTTATGCTTTGTAGGAGGCGGGAGGCGGCGTTATGATGGATCGGGAATCGGGATCCTTTATGGCGGATTATCTGAAAGTGTTTCTTTGGATTGTGGCTCATTACGTTATAATGACCAATGAAGTGAGGTGGAGAAGAAGAATTGCGTCAAATCCATGTTGCATCCATTGTTTAACAAGAGTAGAGACCTTGCTTCATGCTTTGCGTGATTCTCCTAAAGCACGTAAGGTTTGGTAATCTCTTGTCAAGGTTGAGGAGAGAGGGTATTTTTACAATCAGAAGTGGTATGCTTGGTTGATTTCTAATCTTGCTTTGAGAAACAGAGGTTCTCATGATACGGATTGGCCTTTAAAGTTTGGCAATGCACTGTGGTTTATTTGAAAAGATAGATGTCAAAGAATTTTTGGTGTGAAGCAGGTTAATTGGTATGGTACTGTTTGGATACCGCTAACAAAGATTTAAGGCAGATAGGCTGGATTTATCCCACACAAGAATGGGTCAAGCTTAATATGGATGGTTGCAGTAAGGGTAGAGGGGTGGCAGGTGCAAGAGGAGCTATTCAAAATGGTATGGGGACCTGGTTGAGGGGTTTTGCTAGGAATAATGGGGTTTGCTCTTCGGTAACTGCTGAATTGTGGGCGATTTATATTGGGTTAGAGCTTGCATGGACAAAAGGGTTTAAAAAGGTTATATTGGAGTCAGATTCTGTTGTTGTGATTAATCTTATAATCAAGAATAATGCTACTATGGATAAGAAATATAATTTTATCATGCAGATTAGGAGGTTATTGGATAGAAATTGGGAGGTACAAACTACACATGTTTACAGGGAAGCAAACTCTGCAGCTGATTGGTTGGCTAATTATGGGTTAACCAGGGATACTTTAGATAGGAACTTCGATGTTTTAGAAGAGTCACCTTCAGAGCTCTATTCCATCTTGTATTATGACCTGATTGAGTCTCTTTTTTTCGTTTAATTTATTATGACCTGATTGAGTCCACTTTTCTTCGTTTAATTTAGTTTGCCCCGAATATCACCCAAAAAAAAACTGTTTCTATTGCCGCTGGTTTTCATTGCCTTTTCAAATTTGTAAATCTTCCTTGTCCGTGGTGAGGAAGCTGTTCTAGCATTCAATTTGCTCATAGATGCAGAAGAAAGAATGAGGCTTCTATTGTATTCAATTGATGCTTTTATATGAAATTCCTAAACTATCTAACTCTGTGTGTGTGGAACGAGTGAAAAAAAGAAATGGAACAAATGGCACGAGTTAAGCATATACCAGTAGTAACCATGAAAAAAAAAGAAGAAGGGCAAGCATTAGACAATTTGGGGATAGCATTGAAATGAAAGAAATGTGGACCTGAGAAGCGGCAGTTCCAAGCAAAGAAGGCCTGAGGCCGCTGTATAGTCCACCCCAACCTTCGCTTCTAACGACCTGGATAATTAATGGATTTAATTAATTTTTTTTAGAAAAAACAAAGTCACAACGATAAATTAAGGAACCAGAAGAAGAAATCTAACCGAACATCTGACCTGGAGGATTTGAAGAAGAGTGCCTGTGGTTGTGCCAGAGCGTTTGGAAGGGGTTTGAGGTTGCTTCTTCTTCTTGTCTATTCTCTCAGTTTGCTGGCGCGTATTCACCTAACGTCACGGCAATAATTTATTTAGTTTAGTTTAGTTTTTTTCTTTATTTGAAATTTAATTTATTTACTTAAAACAAGGAAAGAGAAGTTGAGGAAGATATAAAGAGGGGAGATGAGCTGCTGGTGATAAGACCAGTAAGAGCAGGGAGGAGGAGTGTGTGCGTGTGAGCGGCAGTGGAGTAAAGTACTGTTTGGAGGGGATAAGTGATGATTTGAGCAACAATACCGCCTCCTGCTCCTGCTAACCCGTTCGCTACTGCGTTAGAATTGGAGGACATCGCTCTCTCTTCTTCTTCCCCCCTCTTCTCTGCTCCACTTCCTCCTACCTAACTGTCAATTATCTCTAGTCTATCTATACACACGCCCCATGTTAACACCAGAATTAATTGGAGTTAATTTCATTTTATTTGCTGAAATGTATATTACAAGAAAAACTAATGTCCCTCGATTTACCGAGACAGAAATCACAATACATTAAAACTGCTAAAAAAAGGGACAAGTGGAATAAGATTGTTTTTTTTTATGAGATATATTTGTTATTAAACAAATAATTGAGACAAAATGATTTGTTCAGTTTTTTTTTTCTACTACAGTATAAATATTAATTTACCCTTTAAACATGGAATTTAAATTTTTGGGTCGGATTCATTTATCTTTTTTTAAAAAAAAAAAACAGTTACTTGGGAAAAAACATACATATATTTAGAGGTTTCTCCACCTTTTCTTTTTTAAAAAAAAACAGTAAAAATATAAAACTACCCTTGAATTTTTTTTAAAAAAAGGTTGCATGTAAGTGTGTTTTTATTCTTTTTATATGGTTTTGTTATAAATTTTAATTAGAGTTGGGGGTAATTGAATATTAATATATAATTATTATTATTTATGTTAAAAACTTATTAGCAAGTGTTAGGCACGCGCACCAATAAGTAGTCATTGTTCATGTTTTTTATATGGCACGTGTGGCTCCTAAACAACACCAAATATTGCATTTTAAAGTGGTATTCAATGTGTCTCACCACCCTTATCATGTTGGTGAGATGGATGTGCTAGACAGTACGCAGATAAGCTCCGCCAAGGATATTTCCCTAGAAAACCTTATTAGCCATTGCAAAAAAAATAAATTATCTATTTGTTTGTTAAATAGAACTAGGCCTTTACTTTCTTTTTTTTATTACAATGTAGTTGATCTTGAATCATTTATTGAGTTAATTTATTTTCACATTTGATTTTTATATAAGATTTAATTTTCATTCTTCTAATTGCAATGTATTTGGTCTTAAATCATTTATTAAGTTTTTTTAACTAAAAAAAATGATAAAAAAACAATTGAAAGAACGAAGACTAAAACTAGATAAAAATTAAATTAAATTAAATTAAATATTAAGGAGACAAAATTGAGAAAAAAAAGATAAATCAAGAAATGATAAGATTATAGCAATAAAAAGAATAAGACAAAAAATGAATTAAAAACTAAATGCAAAAAAATACTAAGGAATGAAATTGCAAAAAAATAATAATAAAGAAAAGTATAAAATACATAAAAGCAATCAAAAGCAAAAGGGTTAAATTAAATAAAAAAAAAACAAATTCAATAGAATGCCCAAAGAAGAAATAAAAAAAGCTAAACTTCAAAAAACATCAAAAACCAAATAAATAGTAATTAAAAGAGGAAGTTAAAATTGATGAAACTACAAACTGGATGGCAAAATTATTTTTTGAAAGAATATGCATGAATTTTAAAGGCATGAAAGAGAAAATAGAAAAGGAAGAAAAACCTCATCATAATCTAACCGAACCTCTCTTATAAGCACGCATACAATTGTTGTAAATAGGACAACTTGCCCTTTTTAATGTCACTACAAAAACAAGATTTTTGAAATTGAAAAGGCCCTCAAACGTCACATTAATAACATGAGGATGGTTACTCGATTGCACGCGTCAACGATTTTTTAATAATATTTAATAATTGAAAATTATCAAACATCCCCTAATAAATTGAAAAATAACAAAGAAATCATAATAAAATGACTAAAACAACCTTGAAACTAACTCTCTTTTTTAATCTAAGATTAATCTTAACATCTCAGTGTTTTAAATAATAATAACAAAAAGACAAAAAAACTCTTCTGTGCATGTTTATGATCAGTTTTTAAAAAAAAATAAAAAGCCCCTCGTTGAAAGCTTAACCTTTTTTTTGAAAAAGATAAAATATTTATTTTATTATCTTTTAAAAAAATATCTTCATCAATTTATCCCTAATCAATTTTATAATAACTAAAAAATTAAAGGCCAAATTAGTCTTTTTTGTCAATGAAAAAAATATATTTTTCACTTCTTCAATGAATAGAAACTTGTGTCTATGTTCACAAAAAAATCACTATTGCCTTTTAGTTATTATCTTTGTAATATTAAAGATTAATTAAAAAAAACCAACCATGAAGCAAACAAAAGAAAAAAAAATAATTAAAAGTAAAAAAAAAAGATACGAGCCCACTTATATTAACCTGTTAAACCCATAATTTGTGTTATGAAATCAAGATAATTTTATAAAAAAAACAAAAAAAATCAAGAAACCTATTCTAAAAAAATCAACATTTGTAATGAGATCGAAAAATAAAATAAATAAAAAAATAATGTGAACTCATGATTCGAGTTATTTAATTGGAAGCACCAAATCTAAAAAATTATAAAATCTAAATTTTTATAAATCAAATATTAAATAATAAATTTGAAAACACATTATAAAAATAATAAAAAAAATAACAATTAAAAGGACAGGATTATTTGAAAAAAAATAGATAATGAATAATTTTGAATTGAGGGGTTAAATTGAAAAGAAGAATTATTTAAAATAAAAATAAAAAAAAGAAACCACTAAAAAATGAGGGTCAAATATAAAAAAGCAAAATAATATTTTTTTATTAAATGGTGAAATTAAAAATAATTGAAAGTTTACAAAATATGAAAAAAATAAAGAAATAAAGATCAAATAAAAAAATAACATAGATTGAATGATACAATTAAAAATAAAAATAAAAATAAAACTTGCAAAATGATAAAGAATAAAAATTTAAAAAAACAAATAATTTTTTTTATTCATCCCTAAAATTAAATACCTCATTTAAGAATTAATAAAAAAACAAATCTCTCATGATACATCAATATAGCTCAGTTGTTGATAGAGTGAATACACGCGTCATTTCTTAAATATAGGGGTGTGCTCTAAAAAAAGTTAGGTGAAAATCCGGAGAGAAGAAAGATAAAAAGAAGAAGAAGAAGAAGAAAAATCTAGCGATAATTTGTTCACCAAGACTTAACATGCACAGTGAAGGAAAAAAACATTACAAATAATAGAACGACACCATAAAAGCAATTTCTTAGCTGCAGTATGACAGCGCCGGCGCCGCCTGAGAGTTACGACCCCCTCAACGCCTAATATGTGTTTTTTAATATTTTTTAATTATTGTAAGAAAATAATTTACCTCTCAGTCAATCTATTATACACACACACACTTAAATATAAATCTTGAAATGAAGGTTGTCATAGGATATTCATTGTGAAAAAAAGAAGAAGGTGAAATCACAAAAAAAAAAAAAAAAACTCTCAGAGACCAATTATCAATTATCTGATTTTTTGTCAACAAAAAAAACTTAAATAAATCTTGTAATTTACCCTTGATCTGTCTTATTGTTTGATTTTGTGAAAAGCAAAATCGTCAATTCTACAATAATCTCTTTAGTGCTGCGACGTTTTTCTCATGCTCTATGTATATTTTTGATAAATATATTATTTGTAGTCATCAAAAATATTTCAAGTAAATAAAAACAATCTGGGATGGTTGGGTGAATGATCTGCATCCATTTGTTATTATTATTATCATTGCCCTTGTCTAATTGTAATTAAGCGAAATTGCATGGGAAATTGTTTAAATAATAAATTAATTCATCTAAATTTGAAAGTTTCAAGCTGAAAACTTTCAAATAGTAGAAAGTACAAGCGGAAGTTGCTGGGAGGCTGGCAAAAGAGGAGAAGGTACAACGCCGAAGGCAGTAGTCAACGCCAAAAGCAACGCCACATCACCAGCAGCAGCATCGTCCTCCGCGACTCTCTTTTTTTACTGCCAGCTGACATTACAACGAACGAGCGGAGCGGGGCTGAGAGAACCTATCCATCTTCTCTGCACTGTAATCATCTCTGCTTAACACGCTGCAAAGTCTTTACAGAATTTTATATATCAAGAGTTTAGATTGTAAAATTAAAAAGTACAACTAGTTGGTAAGTAATCTTCGATTGACAGGGAAGGGAAGAGAAGCGATCTGGATTGAAAGAGAAGAAATTATAAGATGGTGAAGGAAACAGAATACTACGACGTGCTTGGAGTCAATCCCACAGCCACCGAGGGTGAGATCAAGAAAGCTTATTACATCAAGGTAATTGCCATATTTCAATTTCAAGAAATTACTTTACTACTCTTGCTTACTTTCTCAGTAGAAACGGATAGATCTCGTTTTCTCGCCATCCATCATCATTTATCCATTCATTTCAACTGGCTGGATCCCTTGCGATGATAATGACGCTTCTTCTTCTTATTAAATAAACCCATAGAATGTTTTGATTGCTTACTTCTCTATTCCATTCTATTCTATTATTCTAGTGTAGACTACAGCTGCTATAATCTTCACTAAGAGTCATTTCCTCAATTTTTTTGTTTAATTTTCCTCCGCAGGCACGGCGGGTCCATCCTGATAAAAACCCTAATGATCCCCTTGCTGCGCAGAATTTTCAGGCAAGCCTTTCCCTTTCTGAAATAGAAATACTGATACCTCTTTTTTTATTTGGTGTTTCTAACTTCGTTGTTTCAACAGTAAGTCATCATTAACAATCACAGTCGTATTTGCATGCTTCCTTGCTTGTAGTACTGTTTGGAAAAGATTTTATACTCTCAAATCAGATGGATATGTCTTGAAGTGGTTCATGAGCTATCCATTTAGTCTCTCTGGCATGTTCTTCTTTATACAGGAGAGTCATTTAGGATTGCGTTTTACACTCTTCCCATGAAATCCACACGGGATATTTAAGGGTTGGAAATGTTCATTATTTTCCCCTTCCCATTACACTCTTTCGAGCTTATTTATTCAGTATCACGCTTTGTTACTTGCCGCCTAGGATTATTGTTGGCATTAACTGATAGTACAAGATGAATCATTTAGAAAGTGGTAGGTAGTATTAAGTTTGAACATTAGATCTAAATGAGCAGAGAAGGAAGGGAAGAAAGTAAGTAAAGACCGAAAGGAAGAGGAGTAAAGGGGTAGCCTCCTTTTTTCAGATGCATATGAGGGAAAAGGAGAGGATGCACCTACCTTGCTGGTTAGGAGGGAAAATTTAATTGTAAAAGTAGTATTACTCTCCGCCACCCCCATCTGTTCTGTTCATAGACTAATTATCCAAAATTAAAAAAACCCCCAAAACAACTATCATTGTTAACCACTAAGTGTTTTTGTGGATCCCAAGTTACCAAATTTTCCCTTAAGGTTGAAGAGATTTCATCTTTAGGTTTCTTGAATTTTTCTGGAACTGCATCACATAGCCTAAATTGTTCGTCATATTTTAGGGTCAAGTTAAGGTTAGTTGCCACATGGCAAATGACTGTTGGTTAAAAAAATCTAATTTCCTTACTCTTAAAACTCGAACAAGTTTCCAGGTATCAAATGTGAATATACTTGTTATATTAAATTCTATGTTTCATTCTTGGGTTAGATCCATGCATTCAAGGATCGGCAGGAACAGCAATGTGTATTTGGGTATTGAAAACATTGGCATCTCTTATTGAGATTTCTTTCTTTCGGATTCAGGTGTTGGGAGAGGCATACCAAGTATTAAGCGATCCTGCCCAGCGGCAAGCTTACGATGCTCATGGAAAATCTGGAATCTCAACGTTAGTTTCTCATTCTTAATCTGTGGAAAAATGAATTTCAAGGCTGATGGATTGTCTGGCTTCACATAGATTTCAATGTAATATTGAAGCGCAGTATTAGTGGAAGATCACAAGGCGTTTCAAATAGAATATTCAAATAAGATAGAGCTTGAAAAAAAATTTCTCTTATCTTTTTTCTTCTTACATTTACATCTTCATTCTCTGCAGCGAAGCAATCATTGAACCTGCAGCAATTTTTGCGATGCTTTTTGGTAGTGAGCTTTTTGAGGTCTACATAGGACAACTTGCTATGGCATCAATGGCTTCACTAGACATTTTCACAGAGGGGGAACAATTGGATACTAAAAAGTTGCAAGAGAAAATGAGGGTAAGATCCAATAGCATACCATTATTTATTATCAACTGAACCCTTGGCATTTCATTAGAACTTCTCTTCTTTTCCTTATTTTTGTGTGTGCGCGCGCGCGTGCTGATTCTTTTGTGTCTTATTGCTTTTAAAACGAGTCTCATTACTGCTGAGGATTTAAACAGTGATAAGAAGAGAAATGATACAACAAAAAGAGTATGGGGAAGTGAGTTTGCAAACCTGTGATCAGCTGGGAATTTTTTCTTCTCCTCTTTGCTGATACTACTGTCAAAACTGAGGGCTTTTGGGCAGAGTGTTAGAACCTCTGCTGCAACTATCATGTCTCAAACCAAGTCAGAGTGCAGGTGCCCCCTCTGTGTGGCAATTATACAATAAAGAAGTTGATGTCCATCACAGAGGCTGAATAAAGTTACCTTCTACTTGTGATTAAAGCAACGCAGCATGCTGGTTTTTTAGCATCTTTGTAGGAAAAATTAAACAAAAAAAAAATTAAAAAATGAAAAATGAGGGGAAAAAAGCATTTTCGAGGTAGATAAGTTAATGGGATTGGGATGGATGCTTGCACTTTGCAGTTGCACACCTTGAGGTACACTGACCTCAATCTAACACACAGCATCATTTTATGCTTAGGATATGTTTGGTATGGGGGTAGGGGGAGATTGCAAGGGTATTTCTTAACCCCCTATACATGTTAACCTTTGGGGGAGAGAATTTTCAAGGAGGGTAACATTTAACCCTGAAAAGGGTTAGATGTTAACCTTCCAAGGGGAGGAGCACAGGAAATTTTTTTTTTTTTTTTGGGGGGGGGGGGGGGGTGTCCCCCTTTTTTAATCTAATATTATTATTTTATTTTTTTTATAATTTCACTTAATTTTAATTTTGATTTGATTTATATTGGGACTCATTTTTACCCTTATTTTTTTCAACTACTACCTAATGTCCTTAACACTTCACCTCTTAACATATTTTTACACCTTTAACACTTGTTCTTTAAATCATACTCCCTTAACATTCCTCCACCAAACTTTTAACCCCATACCAAACACAATCTAAGTATAATATATGTCATTAATTTTCATAGTGAACATAAAACCTCAGATGTAGCACTTTCTCTAAACTTTATCTGTAAGAGTTTGTTTTCATGCATTTATGCCCAGGCTTGGTTGAGTTGGACTGAGCATTGAAGATGTGCTCTGTTTTATTACTTGAATATTTGCTGATGAATTTGTGTTATGAAGGGTTACACTTTTCAATTTTATTTTTCAACAGGTTGTTCAGAGGGAGAGGGAAGAAAAACTTGCAGAAATACTAAAAGATCGACTTAATCAATATGTCCAAGGCAACAAAGAGGAGTTCATTAATCATGCTGAGGCTGAAGTAGCTAGGCTCTCAAATGCAGGTTAATTTTCATTTTCTGGAAATGATTGTTTAAAGGATATGGAATTACAAAAAAAAAAAAAAAACAAATGAAGAAAGGAGTGCAATACAATAAGTTCTCTGTGTATGCCTGGTTTTATTTAAAGCTGAATTGGCCATCTCTTTTGCTTTAAATTGATCTTTAGGGAGAACTAAACTCTAAAGTGCTTTTCTAAATATGGGATCTACACATGAAACAGCCAATGCACCATTTCCATTTTAAATGGGAGAGATTTTCACTCTCATGATGAGTTTCATTTTTTTCATGTGATGGTTTATGGCTTTTGAACTCAATGATGTCCATTGCATGAATTGCTAGCCGATATAATTGTAAAAAAATGATGTTTAATTGATTAATATGCTGATTGTATGAGGAATGTGTGGTTGTTCCACAAGGGATGAAAATTATGATAATTACATAATTATTTCCTGATGCTTATGTGGTAGGTACAGTTGAAAAGGTGAGGATTTTGGTGATTTCCAAGAGAAAAGATTCAATATTTTGGACATGTTTTAATTGCAGTTGAAGCTTATAGGCTAAAAATTAGGTCTGCTAGAAAGTTTCGAAGCTCACATTTTTCAGTAACAGTAAAATTGTTGTTTTATCTACATCAGTAGGGAACTTAATCCAACTGGAAAAATTAAAATAAAAAAAGAACCCAATCATTACTTAAAATCTAACCACTTGACTAAAGTTGGGTTACTGTGTGGCAGAGAGAAGCAAGTGGATTTAGTTTGCCGGGCTTCAATCTTTTGAGGGAAAGAAGTGGCGTGTTTGAATAGTTGTTTTGTGAGTCTGCTTATGGACTAAAGGAATTTACTAAGAGGAGAATAGAAATCATTAGGAGCATGTTTCATGACCCTTGACTGAAGAACAATGAAGCACAAACAAAAGCACCACAAGCATTAATTCTTATAAAATTAATGCTGTCTATTTAATTCATCCTAGGAAACTGAAAAAAATCCCTCTTTTTTTTTTTTTCCTTTTCTTTTTCAAACTACCAGAGATGGTTTGGTCAGTGACTGGTGAAACCGCACTTTAACCACAGCCCTTTGCAATCCTTCTCATCTTTTGTGTTTTGACATTATGCGTAATGCTTTTTTAAAAGTTTTTGTTCTCTGTTTTACAGCTTATGGTGTTGATATGTTGAACACAATTGGTTACATTTATGCAAGACAAGCAGCAAAAGAGCTTGGGAAAAAAGTGATATATCTGGGTGTGCCATTCATTGCTGAGTGGTTTAGAAACAAAGGCCACTTCATTAAATCCCAAGTAACAGCAGCAACAGGTTGGTGGACACTTGTAGCTTTGATCAAAACCATGTATGGTGGTTACTTGTTTGATCTGCATTTTGGTCAAACCATACAGGCTCTTGGACCGTTATTCAGGGGTAGTTTATAGGTGTCAAAACCTGTATCAAATTCTGATATATTTCCAGTGTGTTGGGCATGCGTCTGATCTCTTTTCATACACACTTCTGTGTGTGTTTGTGCATATTTTCTGTATATAGCGTTAAATTGCTCAATGTATTTTATGTCAATAAAAAAAGTTCAACTCTTTGTTGCACAACAGTTTTCTGCATGGGAAATACTTCTATAGGCTATCTAAGTTTGGGCTTTTACCCTTTTTGCTTCTTTTGTGGCTGTTGTTACCAGGTGCCATTGCCCTGATCCAGTTACAAGAGGAAATGAAAAAGCAGCTCAGTGCAGAAGGGAATTATACAGAAGAAGAGCTTGAAGCATACATCCTATCCCACAAGCAGTTGATGACCGATTCCCTGTGGAAGCTTAACGTAGCTGATATCGAGGCCACTCTTTCCCGTGTTTGTCAGATGGTTGTTTTGCTAGTCCATAGATATTAATGGTTGTTGGCTAAAACTTAGTT